CTATTTGCTTTTATGCAATTAGAGAACAACTTCACATAGATTTCGAAATTCGACCAAAACTTACAGATTTCGCACGTGGTAATCAAGCCAAGACCCAAGAACTTGTTTAAAACTCACCTTGGTTTATCACTGGGGACCTTAGTGGAGAAAACTTTTCATCTCGCTTGAAACCCCATAAGTACATTCTCGTAAAAGAACTTAGTAATTTCCGAAAGTGATTAGATGGTTATGAACTTCACTTGATGGCCTTTGCCATGACCGGTCTAAAACTCGCACGCGACATCGCAGCAAATCGCACGTTACTGCGATCATCGCACACGCGCCAGCGACATCCCGTTGATTTGTGTTATCACACGCATATTTCATCAATCGCGCCCACGCGTGCTACACATCTTTACACGCTGTATGTTTTGCGGTTATTCGTCGGATCAGGAACATAACCCGTATTGGGTACCGATTGAATGGTATAGTAATCTAGGTAAATGAATAATTCTTCTGATTTACGCTACTTGTAACAGGGTATCGCATTTACGCAAAATGTGGTTGACCTACCTAATGTAGAAACTTAACAATTCGCAAGTGTTTTTTCGCTGGGGATTTTTTTTGAGTTAAATACATTCGCGGCAAAAATGACCTTGTAAATGCTAAATTGGAATCTTTACCCAGTCATAGTATAAATTGTTCTTTAGCGCATTCGAAATTTTGTGTATGTAATTGCTTATTCCCAGTTTTTTCGCAATCAAATAGCTTTTTCTTCCAGGGACTTCAAGGGTCACCCCAGACTTTGCCAACCTTGCCGAACTCCTTCAAGATGGTGAATTCGGCCAATTCAAGCTTCCCTCCAAGTTTGCAGAGGAAGAGAAAGAGGTACATATTTTTCACTTTTATCTCGCTGGATCTTGTAACTTTGGGACTAAAGCTGTACCCATTTGAGGACGACTACGCCCCTCGCCAAGCAATTGACTGGCTGGAGCGACGCGCAATCGCAAATGTTCCAGAAACAATATGTACATTTGATGCGTCAGAATATCTTGTAATGCGAGCGAAAGAAGATTCATCGAAGCCTCCAGAGGTGGAAGATGTTGTGGTTTTGAAAAAATTTCAATTTGTAGTTTGCCAGTTTAGGTCCGAGGGGGTCCACGAGATGCGCTAATTGTGCATGCGACTGAGCATAACTCCTCCGTACTATTTCAAGAAGCATTCCTTGTCACTTATCGAACATTTATATCGTCTCATGATCTCATTAACAAACTCATTACAAGGTTTATTAAATTATTTCGGCTAGCAACTTACAATGTTAAAATTTTAAAAAATTATAGATACGTGTATATGTCCATGTCGGGAGACCGAGCATCGCAATCAGCAGCTCGTCTAACATTTTCTGTACTGGTACGAGTAGTGGATGAGCTAACAAATTATGAGTTGAGCGAGGTACTCGTACATACCGTAACCTCATTCGTCTATCGCCTCATTCACGAAGGAAACCTTATTTTTGCCCGATTGCTCAGGTAAGGACAGTTTTTTATCATTCAAAAATGTCTAACTAGATTGAAAATCTATAATTCTCTCTATTCACCTCAAAAACGCTGTTCTTTACGCGAACAAGACCTATAACATATGGCGATTTCACCGCCGATACATTGCGTGCCTTTCAAACCTTCGGGAACCTGTCCGTTTCACCTTTCGCTGGGAAACGCCCTACTGCGTCGCAATAATGTTTTTTGACAGTTTCGTGAACGAGCCAGAGATGAAATTGTTACTCAACGAGAGTGTGCAGACTTTTCGACTGGAACGAATCTGTAGGAAAAGATGACGGGCCTTTCGGGGAGTTATGGGGAAGAGAAAAAGCAGACAATATAATAACTCAAGTCTGCTTTTTTTGTCTTGTGGCAAAGATAAGCAGTATAAAAGACAAAAGAACTTATACTTATAAACTTTTTGATACTAAGTACGTTTAGAGCTCTTGTTTGAGATTTCCCAAAACTCACAATTAAATACCTAGAGAAGAGAGAAATTAAAGAAAGATTTTCCGGGAGTAACAGTAGCATCATCACAATAATGACACGTGTTAGTAGTATGGGGAAATAGAGACCTTAATATGGAACTTGAAATCATGTTTATCTCTTTGCTCCTTTAGTTCTTCTTGACCAATTAAATGCTCAAAACTCGCGAGTTTTTAAAGTGATATCGGTTGGGCCCAAGATAACGCAACTTGAGTCACTTCATAAAAGTACAAATTTATGTCCCCTACTTACATAATTTGCAACGTGAGAAAATGATTCAAAAACATGCGGCAATCATTTCTTAGTTGTTTTCCTGAAATGCACTTTTTCATTAATTTCCTTCAAATCATGTCTTTTTCCTAGAGCTGTTCCATGAAC